AAATGGCTGTTCCCAACTGCTGTCTCTGGTTGTCGATCTTAATCTCTGTCAAGGTGTCATTTTCTCTCAGTGCCTCTACCAGGGCCAGAATCCTAGTTCCAGTGGTAAAGTTGGATTCTATGTTGAGACTTTTCAAGGTCTTGTTTACGTTCAGCATATCTGCAAAAGCAATTGCCACAGGATCATTGCTGCGTGTTGCAGCCAGACTGAACTTCTTTACATGAGTGTTGGTCTCCAGAGCCTTTGCAAATTCCTTCAGGGTTGGAATTGGGATATTCTTAATGTTGTTGAGGTAGACTTCTTGCAGGCTAGGATCATTGGTTTTCATCTGCTGCAGACTTGCTTCCACATTTGTGGGATTGGTGGTTCCTCAAATACTGGCTTGACCTTTTCAACTTTGACCACATTCTTACAGGCCCTTTGCCACTTTTAGTGCTGATTTCTTCATCGAATTTGGGATTGTTGAGCAAATTGTGTACTCCAAGAACAGCTGCAGATCATAGAGCTCAGTGTCGGAGGCGCTAGCCAAAGCTTCTTCCAGTTCTGGGTCGAGGGTCACTTTTTCTTCTTTGAGAGTTTCTACTGGCTTTTCTTTGGGGATAAAGACTCTCCCCTTTTTTTCCCCAGTGAAGGGCACAAAGTCTTCTCTGTCTTTCTGTTCTAGAGCCTCCTTCTCCAGGTACATGAGAAGGTGCTCACGGTCAAATGGGCCGGTGGCTGCTTTTTGTGTCTGGTCTTTCGGCCGTGAGCTCTCAGGATCTAGGTCATCAAGAACATTTTCCAACTGTTTCAGTTCCTCTTCTGACAGTTTGCCAAGAAGCTCGTCTTCATCAATGTTCTTGTATTTCTCCAGCTCTTTCTGAAAAGGGAGTGCCATGGCTTCTTTGATGCCTCTCTCATGGGCTATGAGCATTTAAATGGGCTAGCTTCTTGAGACTTCAGAATACCATCGGTGCGCTCATCCCGGAGCTGGCGGTGCGGGTTGTCAGTTTGTCTGTCGCGAGGTAGTGAGGCAGCGCTAACAGGGGCGGCACCGTGCCGGAGGCTAGAGCGGGGATCAACAGGTAGCTCCTGGCCTGCAGCTCGGAGGCGGGATCCGCCTGCTGCGTCTCCGCTGCTCTGGGGCTCCGCAGCCCTGGCAGATAGTCTCTCCTGGAATATGTGTTGGGACCCTATAACTGCGCTGCAGGGTAGGAAGAACCTCCGCTTTTGGAAACAGCTGTGCGGGCTCTCTTGAGAAGTTTGTGCTGCGAATTGGGTGGGAGGTGAAGGCTCCTGTAAAGATTTACAGCCTTGGAAACCCTGTGCAGGGTCGCTATGAGTCAGAACCAACTCCACAGTACTTAACAACAACAATGGTAACATAAGGAGCTCTGGTACAGTAGTGCTTACAAATCGGTCTGCTAATCTCATGGACAGCAGTTTGAAACTACCAGATGTTTTACGGGGGGAAAAGATGAGGCTTTCTGCTCCCGTAAAGATTTACAGCCTCAGAAATCCTGTACAGGGGTCACTATGAGTCGGAACTGACTCCATGGCACATAACAACAACAACAATAGTAATATGTAGTGGTTATTTGTGGGGCTGCTGCTAGGCTTGAGTTCGAAACTACCAGTCAATCCATGGAAGAAAGATGAGGCTTTCTGCTGCCATAAAGATTTACAGCCTCACAAATCACATGCAGGGTCACTGTGAGTCAGAACTAACTCCATGGCACATGTCCAGTGGCTAATGATCATGAACATTTCTTCATATGTCTTTTGGATGCCTGAATGTCTTCTTTGTGAAGTGTCTATTCATCTCCTGTGCGCATTTTTAAATTGCATTGTGTGCCTTTTACTTATAGAGGTATAATTTTCTATAAATTAGGCCCTTTTCTGATACATCATTGCAAAAAAGTTTTCCCAATCTGTGGGCTCCCTTTTGGTGAAATCTTTTGATACACATAAATTTCTAATTTTTAGGAAGTCCCAATCATCTGTTTTGTCTTCTACTGCTTTGTGCTTTTTGCAATAGTTGATATTTTTTCATTGACAGTCTTTATAGTTCTAAGTTTTTCATTTAGGCCTTTAGTCCTTATTGAGTTTGTTTTTGTATATGGTGTGAGATATGGGTCTTATTTCATTATTTTGCAAATTGATTTCCAGTGTAGCCAGCACGATTTGTTGGAGAGACTGTCTCTTCCCCATTTAATGTGTTTTGGACCATTGTCAATGATGACTTGGCTTTATGTGGATGTGTTTACTTCTGGGGTCTCAATTCTGTTCCATTGATCTATGTATCTTTCACTGGACCAGTACTAGACAGTTCTGACCACTGTGGCTGCTTAGTAAGTTTGAGATCAGAGAGTAAGGGGTCTCCAATTTTGTTCTTCCTCTTAAACAGTGCTTTGCTTATCCAAAGTCTCTTACCTTTCTATATAGGGTTCTTGATCATTTTTTCCCCATCTCTTTAAAGAATGACATTGGAATCTGTATTGGAATTGCATTATGTCTATAGATTGCTTTGGGTCGTGTTGACATTTTCCTAATGTTAAGTCTTCCTACCCATGAGCATGGCATATTCTTTCATATTTGTAAATCTCTTTTGGTTTCTGGTAGCAGTGTTTTATACTTTTTTTTTTTTTTTTTTGTATAGGTCTTTTGTTTCTCAAGTTAGGTTTATTCCTAAGTATTTCATCCTTTGGGTGACTATTGTAAATGCTATTGTTTTCCTAATTTCCTCTCCAGACATGACTTCATTAGTATAGAGGAATCCAGCTGATTTTTTTAGACTCTATGTTGATCTGTGCCCTGACACGTTTGCTGAATCTTCCAATGAGTTTCAATACTTTTCTTGCTGAGTCTTTGGGATTTTCTATGTACAGGATCCTATCATCTGCAAATAGAGAGAGTTTTCCCTCTTCTTTGCCAATTTGGATGCCTTTAATTTCCCTTTCTTGTCCTATAGCTCTAGCTAAGACTTCCAACCAATATTGAATAGGACTGGTGATCAAAGACCTTTTAGTCTGGTTCCTGTTTGCAAATGGAATGTGAATTTAGCCATTGTTGGTTGTAGTCACTGTTCAGTCACATAGCAGCTAGTATTGGCTCTTGCCCAATTGGTTGGGTTGTAAAGGGTACAGCTGTGGTTTGACTGTATGGTTACAGTTGTTGTCTCCTGTTGTGTGATGCAAAAAAAGAAAAACAAGCAAAGAAAAAATAGTCCACACAGAGAAAAATGAAAGTCAATGGCTTTTTCTGCACCAATAATCAGTGTGCTGCACCATCTACTAGCCTCTTGCCTTCACAGTTGCCTGAGAAAGTTCAAAACACCATGCTGCCTCAGGCAGGTCCACAAAGATCACCCACCTCTTTTCCTTTCTTTTTTCTCTATCTGATGTGTCCATTCAAACCCCTCTCCTGATGACCGAGGTCTGGCCAGGGTCGACTTTACAGATATGGATCAGAGCCTGCCCTAGTAGGGTTATTGTACATAGCTTCTCCCCAGGGCTCACAACTTCTGAGTGTCTCCAACCATCTGGAAAGCAGGAGATTTCCTGGGGTTGTGCACTGGTCAAAAAGAAAGAAAAAAGAAATGTAAAATCACACCTTTGTCTTTGCAAGTCACAGGTAGTTTTCTGCAACACGACTATGTTTTCTTGTCTCGGAAACCAATGACAAATTGTTAAGATGACTGTGGCAAGTTCTGTAGACTGCAGCTAGTCAGTGAGGGTTTTGTACCCATTCTAGAGTAACAGAATGGACCCACCCTGAAAATTGGGGTCAGATATCAAAACTGATAGTGTCATACCTACACACCCGTACACAAGTCAATGTTGTTGTTGTTGTTGTTATGTGCCGTGGAGTTGGTTCCGACTCATGGCAACCCTGTACAGGGTTTCCGAGGCTGTAAATCTTTATGGGAGCAGAAAACCTCATCTTTCTCCCGTGGAACAGCTGGTAGTTTCGTACTGCTGACCTTGCAGCTCACAGCCCAATTCATAACCACTACGCCACCAGAGCTCCTTACACAAGTCAATAGGGTATATATAATAAGACTTTCTGGGGACAGTAACATAGCTCCCAGCAGGTCCGAAAAAATGGCTTGAAGGAGCTGAAAAAGGAGACTGACTTAGGGATTTTATGGTGGTTAGGGAGTGGGCGTAGGGTTCTGAAGGAATAACACCTTGGCTTTGATCTGCTTGCCCAGATATGAGGCACAAGAGATACGTGAATACTCTCCATGTCCAACAGCACACCTACTGGGGATCCAGCTACGTTGAAGACAGTGTAATGATTTCATTACAGCATCTGAAGATTGCCACAGGGAAGCTGTTTCCTCTGAGAAAATCCTATAGTTCTCTGCTTCATTCAACCCCATCCTCAGAAAAGAGCCAATGTGGCTGGTTCTGAACATAAAGCCTTTATTCCAGAGATTATTAAAAGGCTATGTTGTCCCCCTCCATATGCAGAATAGACAGCGATGGGAGGCGACTTGGACATTGGCTACCAAAATGGGGGTGGGAGGTGGCTACAAAGGCAAGAAGTAACTGGCTTACAAGCTTTCAAGAGGGAGCCTAGATCCAGAGGGCATGGAGGAAGGTAGAATCTCCAGTGAGTAGTATCCAATCTGTCTGGGTAGACATGATGAAAGGAGATGGTGATAGGCCTCTTGTGGTACAATGGTGAATAATTGTTATCAGGACTGACTGTGAGGGTTGGAAATGTAAAGTTTTTGTAGCAAAAGGAGGGGAGTGGTTGACTTTGCAGTCCAGGAGCAGAGGTCCCTGGAACCATCAAGGGAGAAGAGCCGAGAGCGGGACCCTACCCAGAGAAACAGTGATGCCAGAGATGGAGGCAGAGACGATGACATGGAGAGATGGAGCAGTAGGGGCTCTAGACCCAGAGAGGGAGAGGGGCTGTGTGCTGACGACCAGGGAGCAGGCTTGCAGGGTATACCCTTTGGTTGGTTGATGATGCATGGAGGGGATTGTAACCATGGCAATGAAAGGATATACAATAGGATGAATGTAAAGCTAATGTTCTCCCATGTAAACTATCACAGAATTCACAGTAAACATTAAAAGAAAAAAAAAGGCTATGTTGTTGTTATGTGCTCTTGAGTCACTTCTGACTCATAGCGACCCTGTATAGGGTTTCTGAGGAGCAAGTGGTGAGTTTGAACTGCTGACTTTGTGGTTCAAACCGACCTGATGATCAAGTGCTTATCCTACAGCACCACACAAGGACTCCATGATAAGGCTGTTGTTGTTGTTGTTAAGTGCCATCGAGTCGGTTCCGACCCATAGAGACCCGGTATAGGGTTTCCAAGGGTGTAAATCTTTACGGGAGTAGAAAGCCTCATCTTTCTCCCGTGGAGCAGCTGGTAGTTTCGAACCGCTGACCTTAAGGTTCGCAGCCCGATTCGTAACCACTATGCTACCAGAGCATCCTCATATTTATGAATTCCCTATCCTGTGGTCAATGTTAATCATGTTGGAAACATCCCACTCTTGACATGACTTATTTAGAGACAGGATACGCACTCAACCACAAGGTCAGTTTGAACCTCAAGGGCAGCAGTTCAAACTCACCAGCTGCTCCTCGGAGACCCTATACAGGGTCACTATGGGTCAGAACGGACTTGACAGCAATTAACAACAACAACAACAACTCTTCAAGTATATTTAAAACGATCAGTAGTCAAACATCAGAAAATTGAGTCAGATTCTATTACAAGCAAGGAGTCCTGGTAAGGTTCAGTGGGTTAATAAGTTACACTGCAAAGTCGGTTTGAACTGCAAAGTCAGTGGTTCAGGCTCATCAGCCGCTCCCTGAAAAGCCTACACAGGGTCACTGTGAGTCAGAACCGATTCACCAGCACTGAACAGCAACAATAACAACATAATAGGCATAATGTCTGAGTTGAATAAGTTCAGTGGGAAAAGGAGGACAATCATAAATACACATAAATGAACTGTGCAGGCAA